TATTTCCGAGTTCTCAGTTCTGTTCCATTGGTCCACATGTACTTGCCAGACTGTTTTGACCTCCATGGAGTGGTAGGTATGGAGATGGGGGAGATGGGAGACCTTCTACTCTGCTCTTCTTTAGTAGTGCTTTGGAGGTCTCTTTCCTTTTCATAGAAAGTTGGTAATTAGTTTTTCCATTTCTTTATAGGATGGTGTTAGCCTGGAATGGGGTTGTATTGAGTACTGTTGACATTTTCACAATGTTATGTCTTTCTGTCCACGAGCATGGTATATTGTTTTATTTATGTTGCTCTCTTGGTTTCTTCTAGTAATAGTTTGTCATTTGTACAGGTATTTTTTTCTCCTCTGCTTAGATTTATTTATTTTCTTTTACATTTTTATGAGCACATAATTTACATATCATACAATTGAATAATTAAGTCATTCAGTCATATCAAGGGGAATTGACAATAAGCACATCTATCTTAGAGCATCCCCACCCAATATTTGTTCTGAAGTATTTAATTTTAGGGGTGGCTGTTATAGATGAGAGTGCCCAGGTGGCATGGTGGTTATGTGTTGTGCTGGTAACTGTAAGGTCAGCAGTTTGACACCACCAAGCTGCTCGTTGGGAGAAAGACAAGGCTTTCTACTCCATAAAGAGTTACAGTCTTGGAAACTTACAAGGGCAGTGCTACCTTGTTCTATAAGGTTGACTTTATGACAGTGAGTTTAATTATACATGATAATGTTTTCCTGATTTCTTTGTCAGAGGTCACTTCGTTAGCATGCATGAATCCAACTAACTTTTGTGTATTGATCTTATACCCTGTCACTTTGCTTCACCTAGTTCCAATAATTTTCTTACTGTGTTTCCGAGATTTTCTACTTATAGAATCCTATTGTCTGAAAATAAAGTTTGGCTGCTTTTTGCTAATTAGGGTACGTTCAATTTCCCATTCTTGCCTTATAGCTGCGGCTAAGACTACCAGTACAGTATGGACTGGGAGCGGTGATAAAGGCATCCTACTGTCATTCTAAAGGGGAATGCTTTCAGTTCTGTTGGTTGTTGATTTTGCATGCCTGTCCTTTATTATGCTGAGGGATTCCCCTCTATTCCTATTTCTTTGAGTGTTCTTATCAGGAATGGATGGTGGCATTTGTCAAATGTCTTTTTTCATTGACTCATAGGATCACGGTCTTTTCTTCATGACTGATAGGATTATATGTCTCTTTTCCGTTATTTTACCTATATGGAGGATTATGTTGCTTCTTTTTCTAAGCTTGAGTCATCTTTGCATTCCTGGTGTGAATCCCACTAGGTCATGATATATTATTATTATTATTTGAAATGTTGTTGGATTCTATTGATTTCTTTCATTATGAGGGATATTGGTATGTGATTTTCTTTTTAAATGCCCTGCTTGCTTGGTTTAGGTAACAATATTACGCTCACTTAAGATCAGTCTGAAAGCGCTGCGTCATTTTCTACATTCCGGAATAGTTTAAGTCGAATTGATGCTGACCCTTCTCTGAAGGTTTCATGGACTTTGCCAGTGAAACCTTCTGAGCCTGGACTTTTCTAATGATTTAATTTATTCTTTGGTTGTAGATTTGTTTCAATTTTCTACACCTATCTGTGTTAGTTTAGGTAGGTAATATGCTTCTATACTGTATATACAATATAGAATATATATTTTATAATGTATTTGTCCATTTCTTATAGGTTTTCAACTTTTTTTTTTAATGCCAGCTTTTGGCTTGAAGTGGGTTTGTTTTCTGTTTCCATTTTTTAAAAATCGTTTTATTAGGGGCTCATACAACTCTTATCACAACCCATACATCCATTGTGTAAAGCACATTTGTACATTCATTGCCCTCATCATTTTCAAAACATTTGCTCTCCACTTTAGCCCCTGGCATTAGGTCCTCATTTTTTCCCCTCCCTCCCCACTCCCCCCTCCCTCATGAACCCTTAATAATTTATAAATTATTTTGTCATCAAATTTGTTGGAATATAGTTGTTTTTAGTATTTTTCTGTTATTACTCTTTTTTATGTCTGTTGAGCCATTATCCATTTCACTTAATTGGCTTATTTGCATGTTCTCTTTTTAATGTTTCCTTTGTTAGATTTGCTGGTGGCTTGTCAATTTTATTAATCCTTTCAAAGAACCAACTCCTTGTCTTGTTAAGTCTTTGTATTGCTCTGTTTTCAATTTCATTTATTTTTCCTCTGATCTTACTTTGTTTCTCGTGATGACTGTAGGCTTAATGCCACAGGAGCAGGTAGTATTTTCAACAGTGGGTGGGGCTGCAGGAGGTCTGGGCATGGCTGAGTCCTCGTGGGGTGGCTGCTGCTGCTGCTGCTCCTTGGGTAGGATGAGGGGAAAAACCCAGCAAAAATAAAAAATATTATGGAAAGTAGGGGGTGGGGAGTGGATAAGGCAGGCGAACACCAGAAATAAGAACTAAATAACTAAAAAGATTTTTTTTAAGTAAAGGAAAATAAACAAGGGATGTGTGAAAAAGAAAACACCATAAGGAAAATTCCAAAAAAAATCCAAACTCCCTGCCATCTAGTTGATTCCGACTCAAGGGAGGTGAACAATAAAAAAGAGGACCGTGGAGAAAAGGAGAGGGAAAAGAAGAGGGGAGGGAGGGAAGAGAGGGGAGATGAACAGTTTTAATGAAAGGAGAATGGAAAGTAGAGAAATAAGGAAAGGGGAAGTAGAGGGGGAAATTAGAAAACACGAAGGTGAGTACTGGAGCAGGAGAACCGAGACTCAGCAGGGAGAGAGGGTAGGGGTCAGGTCAGTGATGAGTCATGCCCTTTGCGGAGGACCGGAGCTCCTGGGGAGTGGTAAGGAAATGGGACTTCTAGTCCTACCCAGAATTCCTGCTGGCCTAGATGGTATCTAGGGTCAGTGTGCGCTGACTCAAAGAGTAGCAGAGGTCGGGCGCTTGTCCCCAGAAGGAACCTTTTAGCCCTCCAGGGCAGCTGGTAGTCAGGGTGAGTGGATATTGAAGTAGTTCTTGCCCACGAGAGGTGGCTGGGTGAGACAGGCCACCTACCATACACACATTCTTGTCTGATGAGGAGAATGCTACGTGTCTCCAGACCAGGCTGTGCACCTGGTGCCCCATTCCCAATGGAGTGCCCTGACCTCAGGTAAAGCAGGAACTGTGTAATGAGACGACGTTACCAGCTGCTAGGTGAGTGAGAGTGAGGGTTCATCATGCTTCTGGTCACCCGGAGGGTGTGGGGAATATGGAGCCGTGTGATAGTCTGGGTACTTTAGAGAAACAAATCCACCGAAACTCATGTATAAGAGAGTTTTATATAAAGGTTAAGTGCGCATCAAGAAAACATCCCAACCCAGTGCTGCCCAAGCCCACAAGTCCAACATTAACCCA